CAGGAAAACCCAATAGAGGAAAATCCATGTACTGCATAAAAAAAATAAAATAAATCTTCATAGAATAAAACCCACACATATATTTTACAGTGCCGCTTGAAAGTATGGGAACCCCTTGCAGAATCTGTGAAAATGTGAAACATTTTAACAAAATAAGAGAGATCATTCAAAATGCATGTCATTTTTTATTTAGTACTGTCCTGTGTAAGATATTTTATGTAAAAGATGTTTACATTAAGTCCACAAGACAAAAAAATAGCTGAATTTATTAAAATGACCCCGTTCAAAAGTTTTGATTCTTAATACTGTGTGTGGTTGCCAGGATGATCTACAACAGTTTTTTGTTTTGTTTTGTGATGGTTGTTCATGAGTCCCTTGAACAGTTAAAACAGTTAAACTTCTTCAGGTTCTTCATCCAGGTCCTCCAGATTCTTCAGTTTTCCAGCATATTTTGAATATTTGAATCCTTTCCAGCAGTGACTGTATGATTTTGAGATCCATCTTTTCACACTGAGGATAACTGAGGGACTGATACACAACTATTAAAAAAAGGTTTAAACATTCACTGATGCTCCAGAAGGAAACACGATGCATTAAGAGCCATTCGAAGATCAAGGTAAATTGTACTTAATCTGTCTTCCGGGAAACATGTAAGTATCTTCTTTTGATTCTGGAGGGCAGTACTAAATAAAAATAATTTATATTTAAACAAAATAAGAAAAAATTGGAATTCTTCATCCTGTTCAAAAGTTTTTAATGCATCGTGTTTCCTTCTGGAGCATCAGTGAATGTTTGAACGGGACCAACGAGTATGAACGAGGATGAAGTGTCTCTATCCACATTCATCCATCATAAACCTACTCCACACGGCTCCGGGGGGTTAATAAAGGCCTTCCTATGCGAAGTGATGCATTTGTGTAAAAAAATATCCATATATAACAAGCTATGAAGTAAAATATCTAGCTTCCGCCAAACCGCCTTCTGCATTCAACTTACAAAGTAAGTGTAAAACTCTTCCAGTTCAAAAAGCGTACGCTACGTCCCTTCCCTATTTAACTTATGGAAAAAGCGTAACTGACGTGACGCCAGTTCCGTTGTTCTCGTAACCTGAATATGGAAGGCTGTCTGGCAGAAGCTAGATATTTTACTTCATAACTTGT